GTTTAGTATTGTCCCCTGTGTGCAGGATGCATGCGTGTAGTGTATGCGTGCGTGTTTTTGGAGGCTGCGATGAATTATGTTCGTGTTTGTCTCCTTGTGATAGCGCGGAACTGATGCCGACTTTATAGTGATACCTCACTGAAATATACTGCCGAAGACACACAGCAGGACACCCAACCCGATCACATTATACTGACAACGGGCGAACCAGTCGTCACACTCCTAAATTGCAAAGAGCGTTAAGCAGGAGTAGAAACTACCATTTTTACAGACTTTGGTATGTCTCGGACAGGGAACAGAACCCAAAGCCTTCCTCACAGGGGCGAACGCTCAACTAAAGGCCAAATGTGAGGCATTGTCAAGGGAGACATTAGGAAGAAGAAAGTTATTTGGAAAGATGAGAAAAGATAAGACCCCAAATTTAGTCGCCTCTGACGATCATACAATGGGGGCAGCAGGTACAATTCTTACGGCCTACCTGCAGACAAGCATACCAACAAAACCTGTCCCCTGCATACACATACGCAAGCATGCATTTACTACACATAATGAGACACGTGCTTAAATTACCTTAGTTGTTAATAGGACGTTAAACAAAATGAAACCAAACTAAACAAAACCTTTTCCAAAGCTGATATTTCAACGTAAATTAAAGTTACGTACATTTTAGTTTTGGTTGAGTTTAATAACATAACAGTCGACCAGTTTCACGCTTCGCGCATGCTTCTTTGTTTCTCTACGCTTGGGCTCTCAAAATATCCTACATCATATATGATGCTTTTTGATCGGGGTTTGCCGTCCTCGCAAGAGCAATTGTCATATGAGGACAAATATATCGGGTAAACAACGCTGTAATTAACGAATCGACAAGATCAAAAAAGACGGCAGTCATTAATGTTGCATTGGGAGGAGTAGATAGTGTCACGCATTCTTCTTTTGATTAATCGATATATTCTGTTTTATTGCTGGTACTAAAGGCCAAAAGTGAAGCATTGTCAAGGGAAACATTAGGAAAAAGAAAGTTGTTTGGAAAGAAGAGAAAAGATAACATCCCAAATTTAGTCGCCTCTGACGATCATGCAATTCTTGCGGCCTACCTGCAGTAAAGAACACCAACAAAACCTGCATACACAAACGCAAGCATGCATTTACTACACACAATGAGACACGTGCTTAAATGACCTTAACTGTTGATATGACGCATGCTTCTATGTATCTCTACGCGTTGGCTCTCAAAATAGCCCACATCTTTTATGATGCTTTTTGATCGGTGGTTTTAGTATCATTGGTTTGGTTTTATTTGTTAAAAAAATAACAATGTTGTTTCTATAAAAAGCTAAGGTCATTTAAGGACGTGCCTCCATGCGTGTTGTGTACGCGTGTATATGTGCTGGAGGCTGGGTATGTTTGTGTCATTTGCTTTTTGATATAACACTTCGTTTTTGCTAATGTCTCATGTTTATACAATTTGTTTCGAATGTCAGCATTTGCCCTTGTGAACCAATAAATCCTCAATCACTGTGACTAGTTGTATTCGCTCTCTCAAGGGGCCAACAATAAACGTACACGTCATATCATAACGAGTTTTTTTTGTTACTTTTAACATATATTCTGTGCGTAACCCCTGCATGTACATTAAGAAAAAAATACACCTGGTGTAACCCACTGCATGATCGTTACACTGATGTGGGAACCCGTTGCAGAATTAGGGATAAATCTGCCGAACTTTGGATATTTTTTTATCTCTAATTCATAACATCCCCTTTGTTTGCTAACGACTAGGTCGGTATGCTGGGACGTGTTTAATTCCAGCAAACATTTGTAGTTTGTACCACTTATTTTACGCAGGATAAATTCCGTATGTTATAATACTTACATAATAGACATACTAATAAATGTTATATTATTTTCATATCTACCTCCTCGTCTTATGTTAAGTGATAGTAAACCCCTTCGAACCTAGGTTGCTCAATCAAGACACGATATTGCCAACCGTTCTATAATGGGCTTTGTGTTAGAGTACGCATAACAAGTATACCTATACTATTTGTTCTGTATTTATCTATGCTACCCCTTGTGGTGTGATGCTCAATTTCTATAAAGGTCCAAATGTATTTTTTACGTGAAATTTACTGTGTTCTCATTTTGTTTTGACCTTTGACTAAAATCGTAAGTTCTATCAGAAGTTAAAGGTAAGGCTTTGCATTTTATTCATAAATAGTTGTGCCAATCTAAAAGTTCACATGTATTAATGTCCCCCAAACAAACAAAGTTTGGGGACATATTGTTTTTGCTTCGTTTCTTATAAAAAAAAAAAATCCCCACTTTCTTCCGCCAACGTGGTTTCCGACATTTTTTTCGACAACCGTAGGGCGGAATTCAACGAAACTTTACATGAGTGTTCATGTATGACAGGCTGTGTGCATGTTTTTTTTCGTTTTTCGATCGGTCATCCGACTGGTTAGCCGGACGGCGGCCTCTGATTGGTCGAAATTTAGACATCGTCCGATGTTTATGAAATTTGGTATATAGGTGAAGTATGTCATTACCAAAGCAACTACTGGTTTGTTTTGTGATTAAACGAAATGGCCGCCATTTCCTGACCTCTGTTTGGTCGAATATAAATATTGTCGGATTTCGATAAAATTTGGTATGTAGGTGAATCATNTCATGGGACAACGATCACTCGGCCCCCGTTTCCTGTCCTATGATTGGTCGAAATTTAAATATTGTCGGATTTCGATAAAATTTGGTATGTAGGTGAATCATGGGACAATGATCACTTCCGTAAGTTAGGTTTCACATTTCAACAAAATGGCCCCCATTTCCGTCCTCTGATTGTTCGAAATTTAAATATTGTCCAATTATGATCAAATTTAGTATGTAGGTGTGTTATAGGACAATGATCACTTCCGTAGCTTAGATTTCACATTTCAACAAAATGATCGCCGTTGTTTACCTTTGATTGGTCAAAATTTAAATACTGTCCGATTTGGATGAAATGTGCTGCATAGGTGTAGTNGAATTATGATCAAATTTAGTATGTAGGTGTGTTATAGGACAATGATCACTTCCGTAGCTTAGATTTCACATTTGAACAAAATGATCGCCGTTGTTTACCTTTGATTGGTCAACATTTTAAATACTGTCCGATTTGGATGAAATGTGCTGCATAGGTGTAGTATGGCACTAAAATTACAACTGCGGTGTTTGTTTTGTGATGAAACAAACAAACACCGCAGCTGTATATGTTTTGTGATTAAACAAAATGGCCGCCATTCCTGACCTCTGATTGGTCCAAATTTAAATATTGGCTGATTTCGATCAAATTTGGTATGTACAGGGGTGTCAGCGTTTCAGTTGACAGATTTTGCGTTTTCNTTGTATATGTTTTGTGATTAAACAAAATGGCCGCCATTCCTGACCTCTGATTGGTCCAAATTTAAATATTGGCTGATTTCGATCAAATTTGGTATGTAGTTGAATCATGGGACAACGATCACTCAGCCCCCGTTTCCTGTCCTATGATTGGTCGAAATTTAAATTTTGTCCAATTTTGATCATATTTAGTATGTAGGTGTATCATAGGACGATGATAACTTCCGTAGCTTAGATTTTACATTTCAACAAAAAGGCCGCCTTTTTTTCCCCCTCTGATTGGTCAAAATTTAAATACTGTCCGATTTGGATGAAATTTTGTGGATAGGTGTACATGTAGTATGGCACTACAAACACAACTGTGGTATTTGTTTTGTGATCAAACAAAATGGCTGCCAATTCCTTGGCTCTGATTGGTCGAACTTTAGATATTGTTCAATTTAAAAAAACCAATGGTATATAGGGATATAAGGGGACTGCGAATAAAATCGCAGATGTAACCATACAACCACACGGATGCTTCTGATTGGTCAATATTTAGATATTGTTCGATTTTTATGACAATTGGTTTATAGGCATAAATTGTGCGATGTCACTCAAATTTAGTAAGTATATTGTAAGTGTATTTTGGGATTGCGAACCTTTTCTGATGCATCCTTGCGACTATGGGGGCAGTTTGGGGGATATATGTAATAGTCACCCATTACAATTAGTACTTGTTACCGAGTAGAAACAGAACAGATTGATACATGGGATCATATTTACTCTAGTCAGATTGTTTTCTTGATATAAACCAGAGCCATGTGTAATACAACATTTTTACGTCGCTAGGGTTAAACCTAGTGTTTGACTGGACTCTCCAATTAACTTGGTTAAGCCGATATGGTCCCTCTGCTTGGTTATATAAAGGTTTTGTATGTAATTGACTTCTGAGACTAGCTGATGTAGCTCTAGCGATAAACAGTTAATGCTTGTTCAGCGAGATAATTGATTTCTTAAAACAATGAATACACAATACATAATTATTGGTCAACATTAATTTGTGTGTGAAAACTTTCTATCATCTTCAAACAACCTATACGACTTGCTGTTGGTTCGAGCGGTTTGCTTTGGTTTTATTTTGTTTAACGTCCTACAGCTAAGGTCATTTTAGGACATGCCTCATGCGTGTTGTGCACGCATGCATTGTACACATTGAGACACGGCCTTAAAGACGTTGAACCATATAAAACTCAACCAAACCATTGAAGTCCTGGATTGTTCATTCTCGTTACCTTGGGTACCACAAATGAATCCTAACGACGAAATTGCGATATGGAGCTGCACAATGTATGTTTTTCGTTTGTTGCCTCTAAAAACACAAGCCATTCGGATTAATATGTCTCGCCTGTGGCCCACTTTGAACATCAATGCACATGTCAAGTTTGGTTGGTCTAGCACTTATAGTTTCAGAGAAACTAACTTAAACGCAAAAACTTAATAGAAATAATGCCACAAATAATTCAAACAAACAAACAAAATATTAGAACACGAAAGAGAGAGAGAGATGTTAAGTATGAGGTATAGTAACGTTGAACCAGCTTCGGTTATATACTTTGGAGAATGAACACACAGACAAATAATTCAAATTTGATAATTTATTCATAACAAAACAAACAATTAACACTAATAATTTCATTAGGTACTAACTTTATCAAAGCCTTTTTTTGTATACAATCACAGATACACACTGCCGTTACATATCATATCATGAACAGCATGATGCAATAAATATTCGGACTAAATGGCGGCATGTTTTCATTACGACACATGTTTGTGTATAAATGATGTGCTATATAAAGATGTCGGTGTTTTAAGAAGTTAATATTGGCTGCGTATGTCACATGACAGTTGAAATGTCTCGTGATTTTGTTGTTGTCTGCTTTATTTACAAATTTTGAAAACTAAAATTTGGACGGGTCGAAAACGTAGCGTGTTGAGCTCCGAGGTAAAAGAAAAAGCTCAGAAATTACTAGAAGAGGATGACTAGACTAGGACATACTATACGATATGTGTCAGAACTACTTGGTATACCAAAATCAACAATCGAGAGTCTGAAAAAACGAATTGAACAGCGAGGTTATTGAGAAAACATTATACGAAGTGGTCGGAAGTGAGCGGTGATAGCTCGGGACTACAGAAGGTTAGAGCGACTGGTTCAATGTAACAGAATGGATAGTTTGGGTAAAATTACAAACAAATTTAATGAAAACAGATTAAGACGATAGCTAAACGTACCTTACAGTTCCATCTACACAAACATGGCTACACCAGACGAGTGGCAAAAAAGAAACTAGTAGTAAGGGAGATAAATCGCAAAAAACGTTTGTCATGGTTCCCTGAGCAAAGAAGACCGACTATAAATAATTTCTGGAAAAATTGATACCCTCGGAAATAATTTCTGGAAAAATTGATACTCTCGGAAGAGTAAAAAAATAATGATAAGACACAATATCTGTGGGTATGTTTGGCGCAAAAATGGCGAAGGATGGATGGCTGATTTAGTGGCGCCACGTCGTTGTAAATTATGTTACAAAGTAATGTTCTAGAGATGCATAGCACGGCACGGAGTTGGTGCCAGGATATTGTTTATGACAATCTGGCCAGATTTTGTTCGTCATTTTCTTTCTGGACTTAATATATTTCAGGAGGAAATTTAGACCGTGCACGTTCTAACAGTGAATGTATTCATAGAAACGGTATTAAGACAATGAGCTGGCCATCCCAGACCCCGGAATTTAATATATAAACAAAAATATGTGGTAACTAGTCAAGAGAAAGCTACAATAACGTGTTGAAATGATCGCTAGAAGAGAAGATTTGTTTCTTGAAATCAGGAACATCTGGGTAGAGATCACTCATGTTAAATTCCTGTACTGATCTATTCCGCGAACATCATTGAGTTCCATTCGACTGAAATGACATCTTACTTAGTAATTTGTATTTATTTGATTTGATTTCTGACCTACTTGCCGTAACGAAAGCAAACACGCCGCCATCTTTTCGGAATAGATATTGCATACTATTTTAGATTGTAGTTTTGTAGAAAAGCTACATTCGTCAGGTACATGTATGTATAGTGTTGGGTAGAAACAACACATTCGAATCGAAGTAATATTTCTGTAAGGTTCCGTTTTAGTTTGAGCCAATATCTTCTATCTGGGAGTGCGTTTAATCCGCATTGTGTCATTTCTTTGAAAGGATATGGCTGCTTTTTATATTTGGCAAATTACTATTGAAATGGACTAGTCTTGCTATACATTTAATTCCTATACTAAGTATTACTCAAGTATTACACATGTACGTAAGTGTTTAAGATTATCTTTTTTGGCTACAATTTAGATTCATATTATATTGAAAAACATAACAGAAAGCATGTTGAAATTATGTCCAGTTTAGATAGCTGGACTGTGGTGTATAAATAGTGGATTATATATTGTTTTGTAAGTTAACGATGCTGGTTGGTCTTACTTTAATAATACTATTATAAATAAGGCACGGACTCATTTTAATGTGAGCCACTATCATAGTCTCTTTCTGAATAATTAACATTTATGCGTAAGTTCCGATTTAACAATCAATGCTGCGAATAAACGTGTGCCTCGATTTCAACTTCCGTCATTACCGGTTCCCGGGCACTACACCTCTTCCAAACGTCTGGTCGAGCTTTCTGATCAAGTAAATTGCTTTCGTTTTGATTGACCGCGGAACTGGGGTGCGCTGGTTCATGTAAAACTTGATTTTCTTGTAGTGGCCCTCATGCATGACAAATTCGTACGTTTCCCGCTCAAGCTTCTGAATAGTGGAGTCAAGTTCTGTCTCCATCTGCTTCCAATATAAAGCTGCAAAATCCAGCAATAAACAATGAGTTACGTTAAGTCAGGTAAAAAACAACAACTTATTACCAAAATGATAAGAAAAGGGCAAATATGTTAAGTTTGTCATGAACAACTGATATATTTACAGGGAAAGCGGTACAGTGCACAATATGTACAGTTACACAAGTAAGCATACAAAAAATACAAAGGTGTATTTAAAACTGTAGTTCAAACTTAAAATCGATGGAATTATTATTATCTTTAAGTGCTTATTAGAAACAAGGACAACATTTATACGGGGACACTTGACAAAGCTCAATAATATTTAGATCATGTGTTTCAGGAGGATCAGCATATTATCGTTTTACTCCGCCTTGCTTTTGAAACAGTTAATGATCCCCAACCCTTCGCCAGACATATAGTTGATACGCATAAAGAAATAAATATAGTTATGGTATGACAATTTACCGATGGGTTTGGCCCCACCCCTGGGAACTTCATCCCTGAACCATTACTTTTAAAAGGATGAGATCCCCACCCAGTAACCATATATTCCATTGCTTTTCTCAAAAGACGAACACAATCATGATATAAGTATTGACCCTTGGGTCTAGTCCCGCCCCTACCGACTTAATTTCTCGGTAATAACTTTGCAGCGGTTTATATACCCACCCCATTATCATATATACATTTGATAGGCAAAATTAATTTGCTGTTCCTATTGCACTACATTGGATATTTTTCGTTTCCTACCTTTCCTGTTTAGGACGGTGTTTCCCTAGGCACCCGTTCCCATATGACCGTGGCTGTTGCGAGGACGTTAAAACCCAAACAAACACACACATTCACTCCTAGGGACTTACTTCTAGGGTCATATCAATGAAACGGTTGAGATCCATTCCTCATAACAGCATATACCATAACTGGGCATCAAGAGACCAGCATAATCATGGTATTATTAGTATTGACTCTTTGGTATGGCCCAACCCCTGACCCAAGGGCCTTGCTATCTGGGTCATAACTCTGAAATGGGCTAAACATTCAGGTGAATGTGGGGCTCTTGTTCCACATGTGTTCTGGAAACGTTTGCCATGGAACTTAAACAATGATATTGTAACCCGGAAGTCAAACATTATTAACAGTGAAGGCCATTTAAGGTGCCTCCATGTGTGTAATGAATGCCTTTTGTGTAGATACGGAGGCGTTCTTTCGGTTCCGTTTGAGGTATGGAAGAACAATGTATATAAAATCGAACATGTTCTGATAGAAGAAAACTTGTTCAGAAAAGGAGGTTCAATATTGATCAAATATTGGATCTATTAAATTTTAACATAAGCATAGAAAATATTGTTATATTTTTTATATATTTTCTATCTGATGATATTCTGATCCTACTATAAATATGTCAAACAAAATATTTTTTAAAGTTATTGTGAAAGCTGTGGATTCATTCAACAAGATGGCCTGTAACGCTCACCTGGATAATAAAGCAACCATGGGAAATTATTCTTAGTACAAAACCCCTCCAAAGGTACAGAAAAAGAAGAATTGTAATCAGTTGGTGCGATGTTTTTTGTTTTGTTTTATATTTTGCATGTTACAGAGCTGCTGATTTATACTCACCTAGCACGACCTTATTGTAGCGCGGGTCCTGTTCTCCTGACGGAGATGGTCTAAGCCAACCCATGGCGTCTTTCTCATGGCGGGACAGATACGTCGCTGGTGATGTGACGCTATATTTCTTAGCGATGTGGTCGAGTGTGATTTGGACAACACGATCTTGTATTTTTTTCGTTCTGTCTCGAATTACCGGATCTTTACAACTGTATGCCGTCTTCAGAGATCTGTCGCACCGCCCGTTCACTATATCAAACACACCGTTTTCTGAAGCGAAGCTCTCCTCTATGCTATCGAGATCTTGTTGGATAGACTCCTTTTTCAGTCGATTTACAAGGGGAGAAAACTTCTCAACATCTTTCATGTGAACCCTCTGGATAGCCATTTTTACATCTTCATCTTCTAAATCTTTAAATTTGAGATGGGGTGGATATTTTGAGTCGATTTTTTTCAAAATACGACCTATTTTTTCCTCAACCCTTGTCCTTCTCTGCACTTTCATCGTCTCATCGACAGTGATAAGAATTTCTTCTTCCACGCGCTTGTTGAAAGTTTCTACTAACCCGCGTTCTTCTATGTGTCTGAAATAATAAGAACAGCAATTTTTTGTACAAAGGGAATTTATATCAGAAATGTACGAGAAAAAAATATATACGCGATCACTCCTTGTATCCACTTAGAATTGATTGAGTTTCATCGTATCGATTAATTTGGTAACGGTAATGTTTATGTTGGCCATGAACTTAATTTGAGGGTTCAATGTGCGTTATAGACAACAAAAGTCATTTAAGGACCTGTCACAATATATGCAATATACGTGCATGTTTGTATTTCTTTCTAAAATAATGTTATTAATTTGTTTTTTGACCGAAGTACAAGTTACCTTTTCATTGTGTTGTACACTTCCGGTACAATGGCTGTGACGTCACCGGCGGCATACTCAACCATGTCATCAGATAATGGACGTCTTGCCCAGAGATCGCCAATCTCTTTTACCCACATATCCTATTAACAAGAAACATGTACAATAAAAAATACACTCTTTTTTACATTTTTACCAGTGAAATATCAGAAATTAGCAACAAATACGAAATGCTTTATCATAACATTAGATGTTTTAAGGTCTAGATATCGATTATACAGACTGTTCAGAGCGCTTTTTTGCTCTCTGTCTAAACAACTTTCTCCTTCCTAATGTCTCCCTTGACAATTCCTCACTTTGGCCTATAGTTGAGCGTTGCCCCTGTGAGGAAAGCTTTGTGTTCCGTTCCCTGGCCGAGACATTACAAAGTCTGTAACAATGGTAGTTTCTACTACTGTTAAACGCTAAGCAATTTATGAGTGGGACAACTGGTTCGCCTGTTGTCAGTATAATGTGACCGGATGGGGTGTCCTGCAGTGTGTCTTCGGTAGTATGTTTCAGTGACATCGCACTATAAAGTCGGCATCAGTTCCGCGCTATCACAAGGTGACAAACACGAACATATCGCAGCCTTCCAACACACACACGCATACACAACACGCATGCATCTTGCACGCAGGGCAGGCCGTCCTTAAATGACCATAGCTGTTGATAAGACGTTAAACAAGTTCAAGCCTGATATTTGGTATAACCGATTTTTTTTGGCAGCTGTGCTCAAAGGAAAGTTTCAGAAATACCTATTAATTGTTACACGCGAAAGCCACGATCTAACTCAAATAAATCCTAACGGTGAAAAGCCCATCAAATTGTAAGCCTACAATTTTTAGTTTAAAAAAAAAGCCTTTCTTGCGGATCCATAGTCCAATTTAGATCTGACAAGTGCTTTATAGAGTCATTGCAGTACCTTCCTATCAGCTTCACAGTCGGTATGGGAAGCGACCTTTAAAATGTTAAATGCTTTCATGCATTTTGCTTTAAGATATCTTATGTGAGGAAGGAACAACAACTTTCTATCGAATAGGACGCCTAGGAATTTGGTTTGTTCGACTACAGTAGTGGGTTTGCCATCAAGGGTGAGATTGAGGTAGTCATAGATTTTATGTAATTGACAAAATGCATACACAACGATTTTGATTTTGAGAATTTAAAACCGTTTCAGCCCAGATTTGAAGTTTATTTAAATATTGTTGCAGTTGTCTTTCAATAACATTCATATGGTTTGACCGGTAGCATATATGAAAGTCATCCATGTAAAGAGAGCCCTCTATAGACGGATACAACGTTTTGACAATATTACTTATTTTGAGAACAAAAAGTGTTACAGAAAGAACGCTGCCCTGCGGCACGCCCATTTCCTGCTCAGGGAGGTCATAAATTGTCTTTCCGTTCCGATTATGAAATACCCTGTCTGATTTAAACACAAAATTGGGTAAATAACCTGTAATATCTGTTTCGTGCAGATCTTTTATGATTCCGTATTTCCATCTTTAAGAGAAGAGATTAAACCTCGAAAATATGTCATTAACTGTCATTTAAGTTATGTCTTTGGGATTTGTATGCATTGATTTATCAATCACCACATCTAACACGTAGTTAGTGGCTCAAATATCACCATACGCGGTTCCTTACCTTAATTGCATCCTTTTGATCTGCGACTTTGGCAACCGACGAATACTTCTTGCAAAGATCTTCGAGTTTCAGCATAGAAGCAAGTTCTCTTCCCTCGCCCTCCTGTATAACCAGGTGTGCTACCTGCGGTTTAAAGGTACAATTTAGATAAATGCATGAAAGTTAGCAAGAGGTCGAGGTAAACTTTTGAAGTAAACACACATATATATACATAGGATCTTGAATGAGTTAGCATATACTTTTTTCTTTTATGGACGTTCATATGAAATGGACAACAATGTATTGAGTTTTGCATCATATGATCACGATTTTGTACGAATAATACGAAACACTCAATCTTGAAAGCAATAGTTCTACTATCATCCCTATACTTCTACCTTTCATCATGAAATATAGTTGTACAATCAACTAGGGTTCATATCATCATAGATGTAAGAATATGGATATGAATCACTTAGCAACAAAATAACTCTGTAAAAACAAATAAAGACGGTGTGACATCAAACGGCATTTTCTTAAATCACACTGTTATGTTTACCAAAATACAAAGCGCTGGTTGGAATGCACATATTAGTTCAGGAAAAAATATTCATAATCTACGATGATAACAATTTCTTTCTTTTCACTTGACAGAAAAGCTGTTTTTTGCTAAATTGTAATTGTGTCTAATCGTAGTAGAACATGTGTGTTACCTGTGTGTCAAACACGTTCCGAAGTCGGATGTTAAATTGGTAGTAGAGTGCAGCACTGTCACCAGAACAGGAATGGATCACCTATAAATAAGAAAACATTGATAAATGTATTCGAAACAGTGGTTACTTTAACGTTAAACAATGTGTTTTATAAGTATTGGCTACCATTAAACACGATAGGTCACACCTATACTAAAAGGTAATCGTACCTTGTCGTGATGTCATATTACATATTTCCAGTTGTCATATCACAACTGGACTGGAACACCAAGAATGCTACATGAACCACGTTAAAACAACCATAAATATAAAACAGAATAGTTTTGTTGTTTTGCATCTAAGTATACAGATTGAAAAGAAATATTTTTAAACACGATAAACGGCATGTGATTTTAAGTCTGACACACATGTTTACAAAATGTACCTATGATATTGCTAAAAACATATGAGACGAATGGATATCGAAGAAATTAATAACCGTACAAACAATCAATTAGATATACCTTTTACTATTTACATGTACAAAGTGAAAACCGTGTCGATTGTTCAACGGGAGATAGCTCGCAAAGTGTATTACACGTTTCTATATGTGTATGTCGACACCTACTCAAATATCGAGTGGAATATCATACAAATATGTATATAAAGTATTATTGTTGTGCCATCTACATAGTATGTAATCGTTTAAAGTAAAAAGTATAAGATATTGTGACATATGTCATTTTCATCTATAACGACCGGAGTAAAAATAAGAGGCGTGTTCCCGGTGCCATTTTTAGATACGAGTACCAAATTATACGATCACAGTCCGGTTCGGTTCGAATCTAAACCAAGCTATAATATTTTTTTTATAAATGTTCGAGTCAAAAAATTAAATGAATCGCAAAACAATCTTACGCGTCTCCATCCTGTCGTACTAGCTTTTTACCTCAAATCCGTTTGTATTATATTAACTGATCCACTGGCAAATGGAATAAAGCAACTATTCCGGTGACGCCACCTAGGGAGTCACATAAAAATACGAGTTTTCCTACCTAATCTCAGTTTGATCTTAAACGACTCTCCTGAAAAATGGGTGTAAATGGTATAAATAACATAAAAAACACATATTATACCTTCTTGATTTTTGTTGAAGTCAGTATGTCCTGTAGCTTCCCTTGGATGAAGAGATCTTTGTTGGTATGGATGTCAAACAAGTAGACGACGTGATCGAGCGTTCCAACCTGCAGCAGTGTCAGGGGACCATCCTTACCCAACTGCACTCCCTCAGCGTCAACTGCGATGACGTCACATTTCTCGAGCTCCCTGACGACGTCACGACACCTGCTTACGTCAGTTATGACCTCTACCTTTTTACTTTCAGACATCTTTCGTACGATTCAGAATTTGAATCTAGGTTAAAGTAAAAATAAAACAAATACATATATATCTTCCACAGAAGGAGATAAAATGTAATGGAAATCCGAAGAGATTTTGTATTGTCAATGCCACTGTTCTGAATTTGAGGAGGCGGAATTACATGGAATTAACATGAAGTTACATGAAAAGTATCGTCAATGAAGAAAATGCCTAGTCTAAAAACGATTGTCCTACTCCATTTATACTCTTTCAATGATTTCTATGTTAAATATTCTTTAGTTAAAATTCTGTCCTCGTTTCGTCGCTAGCCCGGATTTTAAACTTTATTTCAAAATTGTGAACTGTTGTTTTTTTGTAAGATTAACGTGGCAAAATAACTAGATTTAATGCACAGACAACCGCCGGGACGAGGTTGTCCTTGCTAGTGTCCGGATGGGTCTTTCATATATTACTAATTCATATTAGTATTTGAATAGCATGTCGCGAACCATTTACAGTAAAACACACGTTATTAATTTTTATTGGTTTTCAGCCAACAAGAACATTTTACACTAATATAATAGATCTCGAATCTCTTATCAAAACAGTATAATCTCTAACCTATTAACCTTACAACTATAGCCACACATACGTTTAGCATGATCTTCATCTAGTTATACTTCTTTCAAGTGTTATACGTTTTGTTTATATAAAAGTTACCAGATAATCGGTGAATTGCATCCTAGATACAGAGAAAGGCGCCGTGATTAATAGAATATCTCACCCCCTAGGGGGGGGGGGGGGGGGGGGGGGGGGTTTTTTTTTTTTNCCAAAACGAGGTTTGATATTCCCCTATCTTACCTACAAAGGGTTGAATGATTCGGTTTTTTTCTTATCCAGTTTTTCCAATGTGTATCATATACACAATGAATTGATAACGTTACATGCTAAATTCAGGGTTGACGTGACGTCATTGTATTGTTAAAGTGACGTCATAGCATTGTTATGAATAGGGGAATCTCCCTGTCTCAACCCTACGGTGAGACAAGGAAATCTCACACCGGATAAAGTGCGAATACACCTGATTAGTCATTTATACATTACCCGTTGTGTTCTATTAAAACGTGAAGGCCAGCCTCAATACATAGCGTGACAGGAACCATTACAGCAAATCACTTGTTATTAGATTGTGTCGACCTTCAGTCAACTCGAGAACATTTCTATAATAACGTTACATGTCGTAATAAAACAATCGAAAAAATGTTTGACTTTAGAGTTTAGGCTATCTGAAAGTTGTTGGCCTTTTTGATAAAATATGAGTCATCACTTTTAATATTTAAATTGATGTTGTCTTTTACCTTTAGTTTGTTTTGTTTTTATTTTGCATTTGAATTTTGTCGACCATTTGTTGGCCCTTGCGACTTACTTATCCTGTCTTGATGGGCCGTTACTCATGTAATTATAATAAAAGTAGTTATATTGCTCTAGATTATCTTGTTGCAGATTACATTATCTAGTTCTAGGTATAAGGCGATATGACTTTTAGTGTTTGTTTTCTAATCTATATACCTGAATCATAAAGCAGTATCGATTTCCAGTTGATAACTTGTTTCCGTGAATTTGATGTTTCTATTTCGTTCACTGATTTCAAATAAGAAAAAATATTTTTTGTTTATATATCACTCTTGTTTCAGATAACATTAACTAGGTATGAGGCGTTATCACTTTTAGTGTTTGTTTTTCTAATTTATATACATGAATCTTAAAGCAGTATCGATTTCCAGTTGATGACTTGTTTCCGTGAATTTGATGTTTCTACTTCGTTCACTGGTTTCAAATAAGAAAATTATTTTTTGTTTATATATCACTCTTGTTTCAGATTACATTATCTAGGTATGAGGCGATATCACTTTTAGTGTTTGTTTTTCTAATCTATATACATGAATCATAAAGCAGTATCGATTTCCAGTTGATGACTTGTTTCCGTGAATTTGATGTTTCTATTTCGTTCTCTGGTTTCAAATAAGAAAATTATTTTTTGTTTATATATCACTCTTGTTTCAGATTACATTATCTAGTTATAGATAAGAGGCGAAGTTTATATATCTGCGTCATATATCATGGTCTATTTCAAGTTTTATAATACATGTTTCATGTTAGTCTTATTTATTTATACCAGGCAAGATTATATATTCCAGTGTACAGACTTGTTTTAGGTGATTCATTTTTTTCTATATGTTAACTCCTGTTTTTATGTACGGATATGTAGGAATATATGTATTTTTTAAATTTTCAGGTAAATTTTTAAATTTCGTTTATATGCGTATTTTGGGTAAATTTTTAAATTCTAATACATATCCTAGTTTCAGGTGAGAATACATTTTTCTGGAATACCATTTTTTGATTATTTAACATATTTCGTTAAAAACGCAGAAGCATAGCGGCTGCAGTCGATTGATTCTTAAACGCTTTATCACTAAGGTCCCTATTTCAGTGAATAAAGTCAGACTGAAACAAATGGGTGAAAATGTTATATTTGAGCTTGTGTGTTATAGACAACAGTTTAAAATTGGTTACTCATGTAGTTAAAACATTTGTATTGATTGATAGATAGATTGATAGGGTCCTTTTGACAACTAAGGTCAGTGATTGTATGTTTTGTATGCGTGTATTTGTAAAAGTCTATTGTAATTGGGTCTTTTCAATAGGTTATCTATAGTACAATGTCGTGTATCAGCTATTTTATCAACACCTGTATATGTTATCCCGTTTTTGTTACAGAAATACGGTATGCCTCGATTTATCAGATATACTATGTATAACAATAATTTGCTGTATAAGAACACACCCGTAACAACACAAATGAACAGATGTGAACGTATAATAGAAACTGTGTGTGAATAGGTATAGTACACCATATGTAGGTCATGGATATAAATAGACTCGGTTGTTTTTTTGCATGACTTCACCGCGTGGTAGCGGAGTGTGTACTGCGAGCTGTATACACCCTGTGTAAATCATGGTTGTTTATGCTATATATTCGATTCGGTAACGTCTCGATCAGTCCTCCTGGAAGTTCGTTAATTACTATAACAGTTTTAAGTATTAATTGATATTTAATCACACACGAATATTGCAATAATTGATGTATCAGAGACCTTTATTACCGATTATGTGTTACGACTATTTTAAATGACAAATGTACAATGTAAATGAAATTATTTTATCTTACAGTACTCACGTGAAGCAGGTGGAATAGACTTTAACCAAGGAGGAAGGTTCATTCAATGTGTACCCAGTGAAGTTAAATCCTTCCTTTATCAACATGCTATATATGATATATTGACAGCGTACTGATTGCACAACAAACACACATCAGCTACTTTATATAGAAACGAAAGTAGACTTGAAGCTTCCAGGTAATTATACAGATAAAAGGAGTATGCTGAACAGGTGGATTTTGGGAAATGAATCGCAATGCAATTCTGTAGCACGATTTCTGAAACTGTTATTTCATTGGAAGTAATTGAGCGACATACTTGATAGGAAATCGCTTAGATAATATATACATCTGGTGGTGGAGTTTACCGTTTACTTTAAAACGTTTGCTTGTTTGTCAAGATAATTCAGTCCTTGCAAGAGCCAATGTCATACGACGACGGTGTCGGGAGATGATGTAGTTACTCCTGGATACTTTGAAGGACCATAGTACTTATTTAACTGATACGTCATAATCTTGTCAAGGTATTGTGACACGCTACTCAGTCATATTACACTGGCAGCGGGCTAATATTACCGCGAACCACATGGAGCTGAATCTTAATGGAAGGGTTTTTAAAAAATACCAATTTTAAGTGACTTCATATTGAATGTGGCAAAAGTATAAGAATTTTGCGTCGGCACATGGTGACACCCCATCCCCATCGACTTTGGGTGGTCCGGTGGTCAATGTTAACTATTTCTGTTTGTTGACAATCTTCAAATTCATACTCTAATAACAACAAAAGTGTAAATGTTAAAAAGATGTACATTTCACAGAAACAAAAAGTATTTTACAGCTGCATCACTAACGATACAGATTCGAATACAGAGTAAATAAAGTAGATATAAGCCTCGCTCAAAATGTTTTAATGAATTTTGAATTTTATTTTATTGCAGTTAAATGCTGTCCTTCCTGGGCATATATTGTAACGTAAAAGCCTCTTATTGTATGTATTGTATTGTATTTTGTATTTGGTTCCATATCTAAGCCTAAAACAAGATAAGGTTTGCCTTGACCTGAACTACCTAGATAAAACCTTCTAGGAAAATATTTCAATTAAATTTAAATTCTCTTTAATTGCGTTTAAATGGTTCCATACAATGATCTAAGAATATTTGAAAGAACTTATGTACTGACCCAACCAAATTTTACCTGGTCATCAGACCGTGAAAACCTGCTTTATTAAATTTTAAAATCCATAGCTTCCTTTATTCTTCTCAATCATATCTTCAACGTTTTAATGCAGAGAGTAAAAGGAATGGCAATGTCGTGAACAAACTACATCAATGCGCTAAATTCATTTTTATCCAACATACAAACAAATGTCAAGCTAAAACTTAGTTATAAAATTAAGCAATTTAAATCATGGCAATCGTTTATATGGCCACTGTATTAATTAAATAAAGCAATTTTAAGAATCACATTCTAAATCAATATAAACATTCAGAGTGATTTTTACTCTAGTCATGATTATTTTGTACCTATCATTTAATATTGTAAAAGTTTTAAATTTTCACGTTGTGACTTTTAAAAAATGAGAGTGCAAACTTGCGTATTTGCAATAGTTCTGGAAATTTTAAAGTTTATTTACTCCCCACAGCACAAAAAAATCCTCGTTTTAGTATTAACGCGAAGAACCCTTTAATGATACTTAAAACCAACAGTCTTGTTAACCAAAAAAAGGTTACAAAGGGGATTATCGTAGAGATATAGAAATACATATAATGAGAGAAGAAAACTTTACAAATAGTTAAAAAAAATAGTCTGTTAATCGCAAAGAATGTTTCAAAGGGAGATATTTGAAGAAATATATAGGTACACATTTAACGAGTTAAAAACTCTGTGCAAACACTTTCAAATGAACCATCCATGACACTCGAGAACGTATGGCATTAGGGCATCTTCTGAAGATATGTAGTCTTCATCTCTCTTCAAACCACACTTTAATGCCATTTTTTGGCCGGGAAATTAGCGTAGGTATAGGGTAGACTTCGTGATCCTCGTCCAGCACAACTTTGAACCTGCATCATGAAAAACACCACAGATTATGATTAGAGCATAATGCGTTTGATTGATTTGATTTAACGTCTTCGCAGCAGATAAGGTAACATAAAGATGAGTGTTAAGGATGACACCACCGTAACATAAAGGATTAGGTAAAAAAAACAAAGATAAGACAGCATGTACAAGGTTTTGTAATACGGGATGCAGATCAGTGTTAATATCTTAAATGTCCCCATGCACAAGACACACAAGAATAGCCTTGAGTAGATTATTACGTGATACGTTGAGTTACGCTGAATTATTGATCAAAATGTATTTCCCATTTTTTAAATTATGCTTTACAGTATCACAATTATATAACAAGCAAAAAATCGCATAAACGCAATAAGTCATTTTACCCTTCGTCTAAAGTGACTTCAAAAAGTAATATTTTTACAATATAAAAAGAATTATTACCATTATTATAGGACACTCAAATGTGTGTAAAACTTTAAATATAAGCCAAAACAGAACGTTATGAATAAAAACAGACCAACTTACCTCTTAAGTAATCTAGACAAAAATACTCTTTGTTCGTTCATAGAGAAGTTTTGTCCAATACAATTTCTGAAAGAAAAAGTATGCTTTATGTCTGCATCGCATGATACATTACACTACTTACTGATATATTATGCTAAATTGCTTACATATGCTAAATATTTTACAGCAAGAGCATTACTTTGATATCGACTCATTATAAAGGTAGAAGCAATTCAAATATATATGCATATTTGCAATACGGCCACAAGGTAGTGTGGAGATTTGATCGAATTATATATATGTCCAAACTTGTTTTTGCTCACTTGAACACTGTCCTAATTTGGTCGTGTATCTTGTTCATTGTTTCATTAGTTTCCTTGTAAATATTTGCTTTTTTTCACATTTTGCCCTAAAGCAATTGCCGATTAGTTTAAAAAAGTTTTATAGTCACTTGGATATGCCTTTTTTTCTCCTTACAAAATCATACGACAGGAAGCAGAAATATCTGTCGACAAATTATCAATTCAATACAACACTAGTGAACATATTTTTTCCCGATTCTTGACATTCTTTAACCTGATTTGATGATTCCTGTGAACACATAATATACCTCGGTCCGGCTGAGAATGGCAGAAAGGCGTACGGATGTCTGTTTTCTGTATTTTCAGGAAGGAATCTGTCAGGTCGAAATTCCTAGAAATAGTGAAACATGTGACATTTTTGATGGAAACCTTATTTAACGATTACTTTTTGAATTTATTAGTTGAATTGCCCTACACTTTATTTTACGGGTGAGTACACACACTATCAGTCCGCAAATAGAAAGAATAAAGTTATCATGTAACGTTATCCCATTATTTATGGCATCTTTTCTTTGTGTTGTGGATTTGGTTCATCTTGCCATATCGATTCAATAAATTTTACGGTCTAATTTTGACCTCGTGTTGTAATGCTGGGGTATTTTTATTTATTGCACATTCTAATTATGAAAGTCAGACCTGTATGTGAAGTGTACCAATAATTTTTTTATTAAAAGCTAAGTATTGTGAATGTTAAGGTAAACTGCGGGCAAAATAATTCAGAGATAAAGATTGTGTTACTATTCATACTGACGATGAAAATAATGTTAACACCATTGAAACGAGAAAAAAATATGGCATTTTTGTTTTTAATTATTATACCTTCCACAGCACAAAATAAATTTTTGAACATTTAAGCATGACAATCTCCACATCCCACCCCAGGAAAAGTGTTAACATAAAAATCGGTGGATACGTAATTTTAAAATTTACTGCTTTTTGCCTAAATTATGTGAAAATGTCGTCTTTACATTTCCAAATGTTTCTCATTCATGATTTTTATTTTGATACAAAACAAGAATGAAAAAAGGACACGAACGAAAGTATTAATGGTCTAAGAAGACATCACACACAAAAAAGCATTTAATACTTTTGCGGGACTGTGGTTTTCCTCCGGTTATATGTAGTTTAGCGTCTTATTTACAGCCAATCTAAGAACTCGTATTTAAGGTTTGTACTGAATGTTCTTTTACTTTTAGTATCTGTGATATAATTGTACTTACGGTTGGGTTTGGGAAGATATCCGGTCGATAGTGAATGGCCATCATATTGACTGAGATTAGTGATCCGACAGGAATAGTCACTCCTTCTATGTCTAGTGGCTTCGTAAGAAGTCGGGAAGTTGTCAGTCCCGGCGGATACATCCTTAAATTCTCCTTAAGGAACATTGTCATCTTTTGAAGTTTCCCAAGATCTTCCCTGCGTTAAAACAATAACTGTACATGAGAATGTTTATCACTAATGCTGAATGCACACACCTAGTACAACCGCAGCAATATAAAATAGCATATGCGTAGGTTATACCTGTAATAGTTGCAATTAAAGCGCAGACTAGAATCTTTAAAATTCAACTTCAGGTTAAGAGGGAATAATTATAGTCTTTATAGTCATTAGTCGTTAACGAAGACTTTTACTTCTGATTGTTTGTTTGTTTGTTGGTGCTTCATGGCCCCTCGAAGAATATAATTTGGAGCATAAAACGTCAAATCGAAACTCAAAAGACTTAACATACATCAAAACCAACTTTGAAATGTTCAACAGTGAATGTAACATCAACAACGAAACAATAATGTTGATGTTCACACTTAAAAAATAATGAATGTATGCATGGCTCTATCTAATTCGAATTTTCCTTTCCTACTCTTGGTGGAATAATGGCAACCTTTACTTATTGAAAGTTGAATATTCTTCAATATATTTGTATACTCCGTCAATTGTTGTTGTTTCTTTGTTTTAAAGGAATCAATACATGCGGTTTAAAATCTGAATATGGTTACTTCATTTCGTTTTGGCGTATTTTGCCGCCATACATATCGTTTATTTCAACGAATTTCAACATGAACCATTGGATGTTATTTTATGTATCCCCGAGCGATGTAATGTAAGTGTAACACGTCCAATGGCAGCTAGTGTGCAATTTTCAATAACCAAAGGAACATTGGGAAAAAGGTGGCGACTTTGTATACTCGTTTTCACAAATAGGGAGTCTAGAATACCATGTCTTATTTTATTTGTAATTTTTCAATAGCCTCCATTTACATCTTTCTATTCCTTTAATTTGTACCCTGGTTTGATCAATTTCAAGCTCGAATTTTGGCTTTGTTGACATTTCGTCAAATTTTCGGTGCCTGTAATTTTTTCAACACGGGTAATGTGTACATGACATACGTAGAAATGGGGAAAAATCACTGGAATAAATAGCAAATTGATTTATTGTAGACTGGGTGTATATTTATACCTAGGGTCACCCAGTACATGGGCTTTGCCACATGTATGTGAGCATGTTATGTCACACCTGAGTGAAAGAACGTATACCTGAGGTTGTGCATGCAGGTCGTTCTATATGAACGACGCATGCGCAACCACTTTGCCTCACACAGCACAAACCCTTACCCAGTCACTCCGAGCTGAACAGCAGATCATGCTAGATGAAGCAATAATCTGCCAAGGACTTACCACCCGGACGAGGCCCTGGTAAGACAGACTAACTATAAACTCTAGTATAATATATATAATATATATCCATTTATTAAGTTCATAATGAACAATTGATTACCATCTTTGTACATTATTACAGATTATCAATAGAAGTGACTATTGTGTAAATATATATTTTACAGGCTCTCTCTTCCGAGAGACATGAATGACTAATAAAACATTCTCGAACAACGGAGGACTTGTGTGTCTAAATTGAACACGCCGAAGGTCTTACATAATGTATGTGTACAAACTTAAAAGTACTTTAATTTAATTTATTTTAATTTATTTATTTTTGNTGAACTTAGTTCAAACCTAATTCTAGGTAAGAGGAACTTTTCATATCAGCAAATTAAGTTTTATTCAGATATATTTGAATGTGTATGACCATAATGGTATGATAATAAGCGTTATGCTGAGCGATAATTGTTTTTTATAACGTATGTATTACTAAATTGTGTATTGAATACTATGTGATATATATTCGTTGTAGAAACGGTACAGTAGTGTTGGTCTGTTTTCCCAGGGACTTGGCTGGGTGAAAATAGAGACAGCTCTGTTAATCATCACCATTTTTTCATCTGTATCCATTTGCATGCATCATTCACCAACCCTCATTCCCTTCACCAATATCAAGATAAGGTAAGTATTGCACTATGTTGTGAGCGAGGTTGTGTGTTTTCCCCTAATATATCATACATGTAGGAAAAGCTTTTGTATTGAGGAACTTGAACCTGGTACTGAAATTTATTATACATTTGTACAATTGAGGATAACTTGGTATGAGTAGAAATAAACTTTCTAAATTTGTAGAGAAACCTATAATAGCCCCGGAAGGTGATAAGTTAACCAGAAAACCAATTTTATTGTCTTCTAGTAAGGGATTTTCACTAAGAGCCCATCATGATTTAATCCAGCAGTTTGGCTATAGTGTAGAATTTTGTTGTAGAGCTGGAGGGACATTCGATTTTGGTTTAAATTATTTACATAGAAATTTGGATAAACTAATTAGTAGGTATAGATCAATCGTGTTGTATGTTTGGCTTGGTACATGCGATATAACTACCAAGAAGGGAAAATTCATTTATTTAACGCATTCTACTGATGACGAATGTTCAGCCTTTGTATGTAAAAAGCTTAACCTATTTGTTGAACATTGTAGTCATTACAGTCAAGTTAAGCTTGTATTCCTCGAAATCCCACCATATTCAATTAAATATTGGAATTTAGGCAAGGGATACTCACATTCGCAGGAAATTGCGCTTGATGAGCAATATAACATCCTATTTAGACGTGTTGAGATCCTGAACAGCCAAATTAGGGATATCAACACCAGGGTTAACCCAGTAGGGTGTGTTTACTCCTTAAATTTTAAGTCAGACCTACTTGTTTACAAAAGAGCGGGTAAAAACCCAACTATCATTTTTGGTTTGCTCAGGATGGTGTGCATCCAGTAGATATATTGGCTCGCTCTTGGATGAAGAGATTTGTATCAAAGATATTTTTTGATTGTAAATAGTCATATATTGCCAACTTTATCAGTTATTTACCTTTAGCCAGTATGTCGGATACTGAGGATACTGAGGTTAAGAGTAAGTTGGTTGATACCGACCAGCGGGAAGGCGGGGGTGCCCAAGGTGATAAGAATGATATAGAAATTAATCCTGATAGTAAGGATAACCTACAAGAAATAGATCTAAACCTAAAGCTAAGGTTAAATCCAAGTCAAAACCAAAAAAGAAGGCTGAGTGGCTGTGGGAAGATGCACAGCAGACCGCTTTCGATACTGTGAAAGAGTTACTGGTAAAGCCTCCTGTTCTGGCTTATGCTGATTTCTCTAAACCATTCATTGTTCATACTGACGCCAGTGGCCTAGGATTAGGTGCTGTGCTGTATCAGAAGCATGATGGTGAAGAGAGGGTAATCGCATATGCAAGCCGCGGCTTAAGACCCAATGAGCGGAACTATCCGGCTCATAAGTTAGAATTTTTAGCTCTTAAATGGGCTGTCACCGACAAATTTCACGATTACCTCTATGGTAATACGTTCCAAGTTGTCACTGACAATAATCCTCTAACTTATGTACTGGGTAAGGCCAAGCTAGATGCAACAAGTCATCGTTGGGTAGCTGCGTTGGCCTGTTACAATTTTACCTTACATTACCGGGCTGAGAAAAAAAACGCTGATGCGGACGGTCTCTCACGCATGTCTCAATCAGGTCCGAATGTTATTAAGGCTATATGCCATTCTGCTGTCACTGTAGCCCCATTCATTGATTGTATTGTGGGTGATGCTGTGCCTCATGTGGCCAGTGAGCGTGCAGTGTTATCTGATACACTAGGTGCGATTGACTGGCAGAAAGAACAAACGGATGACAGAGACATAGCAAGAGTTTCAGAGCTCTTGAGAACCGGTTTCCATCCCAGGGGGAAAACACTCAGAAATGAAACCCCATATGTCCAGAAACTCTTAAGAACTTGGAACAGATTGAGTTTACAGGATGGAGTTCTTTATAGAACCGCTTCTCTAGATGGTCGAGCTGTGAAACAGTTGGTGGTGCCAGAGCAATATCATTCCCTTGCCCTAAAGGGTGTGCATGATGATACAGGTCATCAGGGAAAGGAAAGAACACTCTGGTTAGCACGGCAACGTTTCTACTGGCCAGGCCTGGAGAAGGATGTAAACAAAAGGATTAAGGGTTGTGAGCGCTGTGTTCTACGTAAGACACCAATAAGACCTGTTGCCGAGTTAGTTCCCATCCAGACATCCAGACCCATGGAGTTAGTCTGCATAGACTTTCTGGGAGTGGACAAGTCAAAAGGGGGTTATGAGGATGTGTTGGTCATCACTGATCACTTTACGAGGTATGCACAGGCTGTGCCCTGTCGTAATCAGAAGGCACAGACTACAGCTAAGGCACTGTATGAGCATTATATTGTTCATTACAGCTTCCCTGAGCGGTTGCATAGTGATCAGGGTCGTAACTTTGAATCCAAAGTTATAACAGAGCTCTGCAAGCTAGCAGGAGTAAAGAAGACCCGAACCACTCCTTATCATCCTATGGGAAACGGTTCAGCTGAACGTTTCAATAGGACCCTCCTTGGCATGTTAGCAACTCTGGAGGATGAGGAAAAGGCTGACTGGAAGTCTTACTTAGCACCACTAGTCCAGGCATATAACGCCACCAAGAGTGGTGCCACCGGTTATTCACCCCACTATCTCATGTTCGGTTGGCACCCTCGGTTATCGGTTGATGCCTTCTTTGGTACTGATCCTGGTCAAGAAGGAGCAGAGGACAGCTCCTCCTACGTCAGCAAGTTGCGAAGTAGGATGGAGTTTGCTTATAAAGCAGCCCAGTCTGAGGCGTCCAAGCAAGCTGCCCAAAACAAAAACCGGTATGATCGGTCTGTACGTGAGTCGAGGCTTGAGGTCGGCGATAGAGTCCTAACAAGGAAGGTAGGCCTCAAAGGGAGACAGAAACTGGCCGATAGATGGGATCGGGAACCCTATTTGGTTTCAAGAATACCAAATAGTGATATTCCAGTGTACGAGATAAAGCGTGAATCTGGTAAGGCACCTCTAAGGACCCTACACAGAAACATGCTGCTCCCGTTTAACACAATCCCTGTGAAAGATCCCTCTAAGCTGCAAAACCGCAAGGGAAGCAGTATAAGGTCGGCTCCTCCTCCTCATAAAGCACCACGATCAGCATCTTCATCTTCTGGCACTGAAACAGAGTCGGAAGATGAGATGGTTATACCTCCAAGGCAACGAAGGCATCGCCAGCAGCAAAAGGAAAACCCACCAGTTACACAACGTGGGTTAGCACCGTCTGGTTCAGAGTCATTACCTATAACTTTTGATGAATCTGGTTTTGAGACAATACCAGTTATCAGTGATTACGAGTTCAATAGATCGCCCAGTATCGTGGACCTGTCTGTATCCGGTCCGGTTCAGGATTCTGAGCTGTGCTATAGTGATCACACTGGTATTGAACCCAGTATTCATGAGGTAAGCACCATTGACCCTATTACGCCACAGGTCAGACGCTCTAATCGGGAACGTAACCCTCCTGATCGATACGGGAGCTGGGTATTTCCTTTACAAGCTGTATGTGGCAGTGATATTCATAACGAAATATTCGTGTAACAGGTTGGTTTCTGTTTCCAACTAAAAATACTTGTCTTGTTTTTAATATTATAAACCTGTTTTATGTTAAATATGTACTTCCTGTGTCTAAACAGGAGACCGGTAGGGGTATCCCCAACCTCTCCATTGTTAGATTACCAGGAATTATGATTCGTATGTATTTTACTCATTGCCTATATTTTAAAATCCAGCAGTGTTCCCTTGTGGGTAATGACAGTTTTACAACTGCCAAAGAGTTATATCCCTTGGATTACCTGTTGATCATTACTACCACTTGTGTTTTATCATATTGTTATAGATACTAGTCTGATCCCGAGTACCGTATCAGTACTGTGAAAGTGTACTCTAATCTATAAGTTGGGATGCATATCATGTACTTGTAAAAGTGCTTTTGCAAATATTAATTATAATATTTCCCCAACTGGCTATTAACACCAAAACATGCAATAGAGGGGGTTTGGAACATAGGACGTCCACAATTATATTCATTCCTCTTGAGGTATACATAACCTATCATTTGTAAAAATGTTATTATATAAGTTATGTTCCCAGTTGTTCCTTAGTACATTTATCCCAAGCCCCCTCTCTCTGCTCTAATATATGTAAAATTGCAGCTAGATCGTCTTTGGGTATCTGAGGTGAACACATAATGTTGCATAGTTTATCCAAAACTTCAGTGTATTTTATGCTGGGATAGTGGTGTTATTTCAACTAGAATATTACAAATACATTTTATTTATTTAATTGTTTTGAGGTATACCTAGTATTGGAAATGCCTGGAGTCATTTCACTTGGCGGGGGAGTATGTAGACTGGGTGTATATTTATACCTAGGGTCACCCAGTACATGGGCTTTGCCACATGTATGTGAGCATGTTATGTCACACCTGAGTGAAAGAACGTATACCTGAGGTTGTGCATGCAGGTCGTTCTATATGAACGACGCATGCGCAACCACTTTGCCTCACACAGCACAAACCCTTACCCAGTCACTCCGAGCTGAACAGCAGATCATGCTAGATGAAGCAATAATCTGCCAAGGACTTACCACCCGGACGAGGCCCTGGTAAGACAGACTAACTATAAACTCTAGTATAATATATATAATATATATCCATTTATTAAGTTCATAATGAACAATTGATTACCATCTTTGTACATTATTACAGATTATCAATAGAAGTGACTATTGTGTAAATATATATTTTACAGGCTCTCTCTTCCGAGAGACATGAATGACTAATAAAACATTCTCGAACAACGGAGGACTTGTGTGTCTAAATCGAACGCGCCGAAGGTCTTATATTATTATTAAACAGTTTTGATAGTCTGTTAGCCATTGTTTGAATTCAGGTTGGACGGTTCTCTGTTTGGTTTGGTTTCATTTGTTTAACGTTCTAATAACAGTTAAGGTCATTATTTAAGGATGTGCCTCTATGCGTGTTGTGTAAGCATGCATGCGTGTATGTGAACGGGTCTCTGTTTAAGCATGCATGCGTGTATGTGAACGGGTCTCGGTCAACAGTCTTTTGAATGACTGTTTTTTTTTCTAGGCCACGTCGTATTGATATATAGTTTTTTTTTATTTTGGATTCAGGAGTTGCTATTGCCACAAGCCTGAAAGACTGGTATTCAAATACAGCTCGAGACGGGGCATGGTCAGCTGAACGTTTGTCAGTCCACATTGTATGGTGACAGAAATATTGGTATTGTTCTTTAGGGGTTGCTCTTACCACTCAATGTTCTTGCGGACTCCAGTGACTTCACACACCTCATGAAAAAGTTTGTCCTGCTCCTCTGGATACTTCCCAAGGTTGTATATAGCCCACGACAAAGCTGCCTTTGTAGTATCATGTCCTGACAAAAACATGGAACACAATGAAATAATGAATGTGTTATGCCAATATACAGAAACTGTGATTTCTTACACGTGATTATCATGAACGGTCTACACCTAAGCTTTCTTGAATCATTATAGTAGCATGATCGGTTAACCGATCAGTTAAAATGAACGCTTTCAGTTCCCTCAACCAAGAGTTTACTATTGTAGTTTCATGATTTGTTTGTATGGTCTTGTGACATAGCACGTTGCGAAAAGTTGAATGTTTATCAAAAAGATTTGATATATTACCTCCAAACATAAAGGTATCAACCTCGTCACGAATTTCCATGTCTGTCAGTCCAGCACCTTGTTCGTCCTTGGCTGTCATTAAGATATCCAGGAAATCCAGCTTCCGTTTCCTCTGGAGTATCGACGGGTCATCTGCCTATTTGTGTGGGAAAACATGTAGATACTGTTAGATGTACATTTTTTTTTTTAATTTTCTTCGGATGTTGTTAATACTTGTTGCCATAATGCCGTCGTTGTGCAAGACTTTTGCTATGTCAACGACTTTTAAACCTACAATTTTATTCACTTATAATAGCTTTTGTACTAAATGTAAATGTAATAAATTTTATTACTATCAACTACAATTTAAATCATATATGTAACCGTTTTAAGAGAAATGAACTATCACATTAAAAGAACTACTCCGGTTATGGTTTGTTCATATACTTCATGTTATAACGCATCATCACATTTGGAGAGTACGTACTAAAGCCTTCCTTCTCTTTTCAATGATTTCGTCAGCAAATCCATGTATGTAATTGACGTGTTTCAAGTAGTTCCTCCCATTGGCAGACCTCTTAAAAAGTTCCCAGGACAAAAAGTGCCATGGTATTCTGTAATAATTGTATGTCAAAGTTATCAGTTCATAGAGGGCTTCATAGTTAACTGATTGTTAGTTTGTTTTCCAACAGCAAGGGTCATATGAAAACAGGTACTTAGGGAGACACGGCCTGAAACAGAAAAACATCTCAAGTTATTTTGGTCTCCTCATTATCCTCACAGTAGAAGACAAAAAGAAAACACACTTTTGGCCTTAGTATTGAGCGCTCGCCCGAGTGGATTAGGCAAAAGGTTCTGTGCCAAGGCCGGAACATTCCAAAGTCCTAAAAAATGGTAGCTGTTATACCCTGCGTAGCGTTCATCATTTTGGATTTAATTTATTTGGTATACCCGTTGTCAGTATAATGTGACTTATCAGCATGAACATACATTGTTTCCGGCACACATTCACACATGCACGCATACAATGTGCACAACACACATGGAGGCACGTCCTTAAGTGACATTAGCTGATAAAAGGACGTTAAATCAAATAAATTAAAACCAAACTAACACGTTAATGTAACCCTGCAATGGAACATTCATTGTTGTTACCATTGACACCTGATCTTAGCAAATTTCTGAAGTTAAATTCCAAATAAAAAAGTGAGCTTAAACTAATATATGACTAAAACGTACAAATATATTAAAACGTTAATGCCAATGCCATTTGAAGTATGTGTAGCTTACCTGACTCTTTCAATGGTAAGTCTTGTAATCTCGTGGATGGCTTCAATATAAGGGTGATTCTCCCTAGAAATTATAAAAAAAGTTAAACGAAAGTTCTATAAATATTGTGGAATCGAAGTAACAGCGTACACATTGTTTTAAAATAAGCTTTAAGTATGTGACACTTAAAGAACTTCCAGAAAAATGTTTGTTGACTTTCAGTAACTATAATTGGCCTTGATTATCCAAAAGTCAAACATATATTGTAAACACTGGCTGTGAAGGGGAATGCAGACTTTTGCAAACGTAGCTACCATCACTGTTCAAAAAGGATGCGAAATGGAACAGAGAAATAAAAAAAAATGTAAATGTATTAATAGAATGCAGGTTTTGCGAGGTAAATAATTAAGCCCGTTTCCGGGTCAAAAACAAAGTCGCAAATATTTGAACAAACCCGAAATATATTTCACTTCAAAATATTCTATTTTCTTTCCCCAACAACAAGAGCAAGTTAACTTTAGATCATAAACCTCTATGGTATATTTATGGCAGGACGGTGTTAGCTGGAAAAGTCAAAGAAGCCTTTATTGGAGGTGAAAAGGTATAGGGTCATTTGCTCGAACTCTTTGGTTTTCTCCGGGTAATCCGGTTTCCTCAAAATTAGCCCGATCTAGGATTCCCGAGCCAAAAATAGTGATTGACGTAAGTTTTAATAACTTGTTTTCATAATTGTTGAAAATTACTAAATTGTATATGTTATAAACTACCCTGTTGGACCATTGTCTTTTATTGAATTGGCTGAATGACAACAAAATGTATTTCTCACTCAATTCCGAAATAGTGGATGATATAGTACATAGATTTCATAACTCGCGTGGTCGTTAATGTCTTGTATTATCTCTGACTAGGACAGTTCCTGTCTTTGTGTTTTTTTAGTAAATAGCAAAAGCTTGGGTCATATGAAGACGGCGAGAAAACCGTTAGCAAACAAAATATAACGATCCCACGGTTAGAAGAGAATTCATTTTTAAGTGTGTTTTTGGCAAAATACTTACTGTTCCTGAATATTCCCTTCATAGGACAAAGAGCAGCGCAGTATAACATCCAAAGTTGCTTTGTTTATATGGTCCGTAATTTCAATGCTGTTGGGACTTTCTGACATTTGCTTTGCAAATTTGTCCTGTGTGATGATGTTGGGAGAAAAAACAAGTGTTATCCGTATAATAATCTTCATTGACACACAGTACATATACGGTGCTACCAACCAGGGACCTGACAAATTCTATCATAAACCAAGAATTATCCCTGAAGTATTTTATGCATTGGGTTAACATAGGTTGACGAAAATAACAAGACATCTTTAACGATACGAATAACCTCGCACTTCAATTTTGTAAGAAATGCGAAGTATTTGACAGAAGCAACGCAAACTATTACAAGAACAGGTGTTACTTAACATGTGTGTGAAGTGTTGTGGCGATCGGAAGGGTAATAAAGTATGTAGGGCAATTCCCATCAAACTCTATTTATAGTAGCAGTGACCTATTTTTGACAGCAGCAGAGCGAAACACGTACTTGTACAAGAAATGCTGTTGTACAATTTTTTTATAACACGTTATATGTAGTTACTAGGTAAACTTATAATAATAATCATATTATTTTGAAGTATGAAAAAGAACATTCTTATTGTAAACATTGTAAACATTCCTTACCAACAAAGTGTCTGCAACGTCATTGTATATGTTAACATAAGGACGCAGAACATCAAAATGAAATGCAGGTGTCAGCAACTTCCGGTTCCGCTCCCACTTTTGGCCACTACTGACAACTAAGCCCTCACCTTTAACATAAGATATTTGAATTTTGCGTATCGCATCTGAAAATACGGTGTGAATGAAAGTTACTCTATTTCTTATTTATTGGTGTAAACAAATAACGCATGAAAGTGTTTACGAATACCTATTTTGAGAAGATCAATCAAAACAACTGTTGCAATATGATTATTAAGGAGAAATACAGCTAAGCCATACTTTCAATTTGTACATATTTGAAGCAGGAAAGGCATGCCTTATCTCGAAACTTCCACAAGACATGTTCCATCATATGCACTTTTGCCCCTCTAGAAATGTTCGTAATATAGCCCGACAGAAACGAACGATTATTTCAAAAAGTAAAATGTTTAGTGTTCAAAAACAAATGGGATAAATCAATTGTATATTTCCTGAAAACTCACCAATAAATGGCAGAAAAAGACTGTACGGTTGACCCCTGCCCTTTGGTTTTGGTTCCGACAACTTCAGAATGATTGCGGCGGTGTCCGGATGTATGGCCTGTAAATTAGGAATGAACGCAATCCAGTTCACTGACATCTTCATTGTGTCCTTCTCCATCATTGTTGCAAATGTGTCGCTTAGCGACGTTGTATCTGTAAACTGGAATATAAAGCATGAATGCCAGTTTCTGATAAATACACAGGGTGTTTTTTAAGGAAAGGTCTAATCAAATGTGTATACAAGTATAACTTTTGTATGGTAAAGAGATGAAGTAATGTACTTATACCCGTAGTGTGCGATATAGTGTTCGTAGTACTTGCATGTACATGCACATCTTCCTAATGTGTATGCAAATATTAGTGCTGCTTTACAATAGGTCTGCAAAACAGACTACATATTAACTACGAAAAATGTCCATCTGATATGGAAGTCCTTTTTTGGAAGCTTAGATTATTAAATAATTACTTATCATGTACATGTAAATTTGATTTGCAAGCTGAGTTATCAACACTTACGTATCTGAGGTGTCCCCAAAACCAGTGAGGCTTGTATGACGACTTAAATGGTTTGATAAGTTGACAGAAGGTGTAATACCTCCACAGGACTGGGACAACATTCCAAAGTCCGTACCCGACAACCAGGGCAAGAACGATTTCTATTAATCCTGCCATGGCCTGGATATGGACACAAAACAGTAATATTATAGATATATTAAATACATCGCTATGATTGTTTTAATATTGAGGGCGAACAAAGTTGAGCTTACATACACGAATATTAAAAAAATGCCTTAAAGGTCACCTAATGGAAATGAGGAATTATAAACGCTACATGGAAATTCAGTATTCGGATTAGGTGTTTTTTCTAAGGAAAAAGAAATACTCTAAAGAAATGCTATTAAAATGAAACGAATGCAACAATACATATTCATATAAGATCAATATTATCTAAAAGAAATGTTATTGAAATAAAAACAATTTAGTGTAGCAATATTTAGCTTGAGATTATTTAAACCAATGTTTTATTGGTATAGCTGTTAGGTTAAATACATATAAGGTGTCTACAGTTGATCTGTATTGTTGTTTTAATATCCGTCCTGGTATGAGGAAACTATATCAAAATATATTATGCTACGTGATAAACACTATGTTTATTTATTTCAAATGTGTAATAACATGTGTGTTAAAATAGGTCACTGGTCACATACAATGATAAAACGATAAAAGCTTGTCTGAACGTCGGTATAAATATGTCATTGTGGTTGGACGTGTATTTAAAAGGTTATTACTCGACAAAAGTACCTGGTAGCTATGAAAACTACAAATTCAGCAAATATAAATATGTATGATAAGATGTTAACTGCAGCTTAAATCGTCCACCTGTACACAAACAACAGTCATAAGTCTCCGCCATCTTACCTGTTTTTAACATATCTTTCCTCATATATATAGTATTAAAGTAAATAATGATAAACAGTGCGCGAGTGTAGGAAGTATATCAATACATACCTGTACTCGCTAGACTCCTAATCGTAGACTTGTGAATCATGCCCTATTATTCACATACCGCATCAAACGGGGTTCCCCATGGGTTAATCAGTAGTGTGTTTATAGACTGATTTAAACATATTTTATTGCAGAAATTTGCAAATGGATTAGGCATAAGTTATTCCAACTTATGAAGGCTTCTCCCAGATATATTTTATACAGTGTACATGGCAACATCAATAGATTTTACACAAATTGATAACGAAAAAAACGAGAGAGAGAGAGAGAGAGAGAGAGAGAGAGAGATTAGAACCTGCCACTGTCTTTAATAAACTTCTGTACTGATTTGAATACATGGATGTTTTCCCCAAGCGACAAATCTGAACTGCCATTTAATAGTAAGTCTAAGTTTATAATACCATATACAGATAATGTAAGTAATAACAATCGCCTTTCTCTTTCATATAGATTACACTCGAAAAAATAATGAAATGAATTTTCATGTTGACTTCAACACGTACAAGACGGACTTTCTATTATGTTTACCCTATACAGATCATATCTTAAAGAACTACAGGCATGTCTTAATCTTGTATGTAAAATATTAAGTTTTCTATTTCCGTATTCAAAGTAGACTGGCAGTATGTTCAAATTATTTCTATTAATTATGGATGACTTAAAACTATTAATTGTTGGTTTGTCACGTATAGTGTCACTCAAATCATTCCACAGTCGTGTAGTTGATGGGATGAAGGATGATTTTGTTAACGACAGTCTGTATAGAGGAGTGGTGTAGTTGTTTCTGTTTCTAAGTCTATATTGTGTTTGTTCCCCTACTTGTATAGGAAGTAAGTCATTAAGGTACGATGGAGTTAGATTATTGTGCATTTTGTAGAATAATATTAATTTCTTGCGTTCCCTTCTTATTGATAAAGGTTCTAAATTGGTTTCTAAATATAGTGTTTCTATTCTGGCAAATGATGGTAAACCTGTTATGACCCTAGCTGCTTCCAACTGTACCTTTTCTAGATGGTTAGCATCTGCAAGTGAGCAGCCATCCCAAACTTCACTGGCATACTCTAGTACAGGGTAAATAAATAATTTATATAATTTCAAAAGAGTTTTCCTGTTTAAAAGATATTTTAGTTTTCTTAGTACAGATACTTTTTTCATGCAAGAATTGTATATTTCATATATGTGTTTAGACCATTTTGCATCTGCACTAAAAGTAACTCCTAAATGTCTGTGTTTTTGTGTGAATGTCAATAGGGAGTTTCCAAATTGTAAGCTAATATCTGGAATATTTCTAGAGTTTGTTATTAGCAGAAACTGGGTTTTTTTCTGGATTGAATGTAGTAAGCCATCTTTTAGACCACTTGTTTAGATTTTCAAGATCTGCATTTAATGTTGTTTCTAGTTCTGCTGTTGATGCTGATGCATATGATAGTGATGTGTCATCAGCGAATAGCCTAGATATACTAAGTATATTATCAGCAATATCATTGATATATATTAAAAACAACAAGGGGCCCAATACGCTACCTTGAGGGACACCAGCTCTTAAATTTCCTGTAGTAGAATAGTTCTTATCAAGAAGTACTTTTTGTTGTCTATTTGTTATATAACTTGTTATCCATTCTAGTAATTTCCCCTTAATCCCATACGCTTTCAGCTTTACTATAAGTCCCTTGTGCCATACTCTATCAAATGCCTTTGAAATGTCACAAAAAATTAAACATGCATGCTTTTTCTCTTCAAGTGAATGGCAGATAGTATGATATATTTCAATGAGTTGATGAACTGTGGAATGATTTGGCATAAAACCTGATTGGAAAGTGTAAAAAAGTGAGTTATCTACAAAGTAGTTATGGACATATTTAAAAACAACTCTCTCAAATATTTTACTGACACATGATAATAGCGATATTGGTCTATAGTTTGACACTAAATGTCGATCACCTTTTTTGAAAAATGGTAAAACAATAGCTTGTTTCCAGTATTCTGGAAAAATTGATATGCTCAATGACATGTTGAATAATAAAGTTAAAGGCCTGGCAATTGAAATGGCAGTATTTTTCAGTAGAGTATGACTTAATTTGTCGTGCCCGGACGCTTTTCCTAGCTTGAGAGTTTTTAATATATCACTAACATTTTCATTTGTGATGATAATTGATTCCAGTACAGCTGCGGTTCTGGATTCAAATATTGGTATATGTGTTTCAGTATCATCTATATCTGATATTGAACAAAAATATTTGTTAAGAATATCTGCTTTTTCAATATTATCAGCAGCAGTTTGTAGATTAGTAGGGTTTATCAATGGAGGAATAGTCTGTGATTGGCCAGATTGTTTAATTAAACGTCGCATGAGTCTCCAATATGACTTTGGATCTGTATTATTATAAGTGTCAATTATATCATTAACATTTTCATAGAATGTTTCCCTTGCATATTTTTTCATGTTATTAACTTTATTTCTTTGACGTTTTAGTTCTGCTAATACATCAGGGTTTTTATACTTCTTAAATCTTTTATGAAATTTATCTCTAATTCTTATTTCCCTGCGTAATTCTGATGACATCCATGGCTTGTCATTTGATCTTATGGTCACAAGTTTGGTTGGAATGCATGCTTTTGACATTGATAATAAAGCAGTTGTAAAGTGTTCACATGCATTATTAATCGTGGTAGAGTTATGAAATAAATTTTCCCAATCATAGTTATTGATTCTCAAATTAAGTTCATCATAGTTTGCATGTTTATAAAGCCATATTTCTCGTTTAAATGATTTTGGGTTTGTAAAAGAGCTTTCAATAACTACTGCACATGCATTATGATCACTTATACTTCTATCAACGTTTATTACAAAGGAATCAATACATTTAACATTCTCACTTATAATGATAGGGTCGAGTAGACTATTTCTAGTGGTTCCAAACCGTGTGAGTTCTGTTATGACATTTGTCAGGTCATATTCCATCATAATCTGGTGCAATACATGTTGATCTGGTAGTAATATCATATCTACATTTATATCTCTTACTATTATCACATGCGGTGTAAATTCGAGTGCTTTCTCTATAGAATATTTTAAATTGTTCCAAAATGGACGGATAGCACCTTCCGTTCTATATAATGTACATCAAATTAATTTTCGTCCCGGTAAATCTACCTGTATCCATATACTCTCAATATTTCCAAATTCTAGATCTTCTCTACGATTACATTTTAAACAATCTGATGCATAAACTAAAATACCACCTCCATATGAATTTCTGTCTTTTCTAAAGGGTTCGGTATAACCAGATAGTGCTATATCATCAGTCGAAACTGTCATGTCTAGGTGAGATTCAGTTATACATATAAGGTTAAATTCATTAGCAATATCTTCTACATACCCAATCTTATTCCTAAAACTTCGTGAATTTAGATGAAATATTGACAGTTCATTCTCATTTGGGCCTGGGTTTGTCTCTATATCCATAAATATAATGAGGAGTAAAATTAAGATAAGAGCGAAATTTATATTTTTGAATTGCGATTGGAGTAAAAATAGAAAGGGTATTGCAAAGCATGCCTTACTGCTTGCTAACAGTAATTCCATGAATAAGTTATATTCATCATTGATAAAAGTCTTATTAAACTTATAATGTACACGTATATAATGCCTCTTGAGGGAACAACATCTGTATGCTTTAGTGTAGAAGATACCGATCATGCCCCTATGGCAAACCGCCGATACATCGCCTGCTAGCCGTTGTCATACATGTAGTCTATCATAGGGCCCCCACCAGTATCCTCCATTGTAGAATAAGTACAGATTTCAAACAATATATATATTGATAACAACTGTATCAATAGTAGTGGCAGTTCGACAGAAAAGAAAAAGATAATTAAAAGAGTATCCCAGCATCCATACATGTTTGCCTGCTGGTATATAAAAGTTGGATTTGATAAAAAAGATAATTAAAAATAATAATAAGGAACAAACTTAATTAGCGTTACCATATCATTCAAATACATGTGGTAAACATGACATACAGAATTTGTAAATTTCGTGTACATCTCATGGATTGAGAGTGAGGAACGAGAATGCTCATATTTGCATGCATCGCATATCAATTATATTATACAGCTTTGTAATACTTTAAGTTGTTTATGTAACCTCTAGGACAAAAGGATGGTTTAGTACAGGTTGGATTACTTCCCCTGTTTTAATTATTAGCTCAGTGGTTTATTCCAAATTATGTAAGGACAGGATGCAACAAAGCAATACCTCATAGTCATATTGTAAATTAAGCTTTTAACATATAGACATACTAATTCAACAAGGCAAAATATATACATTCATTGGTACATGTACTTTGATTATTGTGCTACAAAAGGTAACAGAAAGATATCTTATTGTAGACGTTTTACACATCAA